GTGACATAATTGAGATCACCCAACTGCGAGCACTGTTCATAGTGGTCAGGGTGTATGTTCAATTGATCAGAACAGGGAAATCTGGTACAATACTAAGAGGATTTATTATTGCCAAAAATGTTAAAATAAAATTATTGCGATTCGACATCGATAGTAGTTTATTCAAGAACCCATCGTCCGCCTGCACGGTGTTGTTCCGTTCAGACATTCCTCCCTCTACTTTGAAAATTCAAGATGTCAAGAACCTGATCTGTGACACAATGGTTTGCGTATCCGCTCGTCATCAGTAAAATTGTCAGTCCTCTGTACTATTCCTTTCCTAAGTACACACAAAAGATCCAGTTATTGGGGAACCAGAATTGTATATTACTTAATATGACATGGTAGGAGTGTGGATAAATCTGGCTGGCGAAGCTTGTGTATACATCTGGTAGCGTCACTAATGCGTGGGCTTCGAATACAAGCACAACGTTCAGCACTATCACGGTGCTGAATCTCACTTACATAAAACGTAAATTGCAATTGAGCTCACTGTGATGACGCATTGGTTGTGGAATACGGAAAAAGGGACCGCAGAATGCGCACTGCGTTCACAATATGCTATAACGCTTCAACGAGGTTATGACGTGGACATAATTCATGAATATTACTAGTAATTGAAAATGCAATTATTAATAGGAAGCATTTATCATGGAAGCCGAAATCACGTATATTCGGTCTTGACCCCCACTCTGTCTATTGTGGTTATTTGAAGACTGTAAACGCTTTCTATCATTCTAACTGGTCACCAAATTTAACAACTGTTTCTGCGGTTTACACTCAAATCTAAATGAGCTACGGCAAGTTTCAATAGGCCTCGATTGTATACAGCGCCGCCAGAGCTGTTCCCGGCTCCATGCATTCAGTTGTACTTCGCGCAAAGAGCAGGATTTCCGCCAACTGGCGTATTTCTCTTAATATATTTCCTTGAGTTTACTGTCCATCATTTCCGAGTCCGTAAAGGGTCTGATCTGCTAAAAATAAAAAAATAAATGAGTGGGTAATCTCCATCTTTAATTCGACAAATACTGGCTAAATAACTAAGCTTATAATGGGGTTATAAACAGCACGCTCAGTTATTTGGTAGCCTATATAATACCTCTCTGGCATCTTAGCATAATTAACTCGTACATCCCACCAAATATACTAATACTTCCCGGGAAATCGATGTGTATAGTATGCGCATTGCAGTGAAAGGGGTCTGACGATCTAACACAATTTTTTTGCTGCCAAAAGTCATGCCTCAAAATTCTAAATACCTTGTCCAACCCAGGTACATGTGCTGACGGTGATGAAAAATGTCGCCCTAATCATATAAATTCTATATTTCATCCAATTTCCCAGCATTTCCGACGAAGTTCATGTCTGTACGGCACTCGTGGGGCGCCCTCAAGTCACACAACTGCAACTTTTTTCTGCTCGTGGTTATTACAGTGCAGGCATATCGGACAAAACAAGTATTACTTATTTTTTATTTGTTTCGGAGCGCGGATGACTAAATTTAATGATATATGTTTGCGTTACATGACTGTTTCAATCATATAAGATCTATTATTTTAAACAAAGATAAGACCCTCAGTGTATTGAAGCATGGAACTATAAACCCCTATGGAGCAACCATGGAAGGTATAAACAGAAGGAGCCACGACGCCTCTCAGGTGGCCATTTAAGCTTCTTTACAGGCTTATTTTCTTTTGTTTCAACCCAAGTTAATCCTGATGAGGACATTGTCTAGCTCATCTTTGATGTCTATGATAGTTTGCGATTGTTTACACAAGTAACGAGTTAGCGGAATATGACATAACATTGCCGATTTTTAAATGTGACCATAAAATGTATGCGCATTATGAAACTACGGTCATCCATGGAGGTAGAAAAGAGACTACTCCATGGGTCATCACACATGCGCACTCGGTTTGTTTAGGTGCGGAAGGTCAAAATACAGCCGGAAATTCAACAGATGAACGTTTCAAGTTGACTTCGTTCACGTACTAGTATTTCACTTGTTTTAATTATTAGCAACTGTAACAAGAATTCCTAAAGACTCATACAAAATATTATCACAGAAAAAGTGTCTAGGCATGCCCTTCTAGTGTAACCCATTGTACGAAGGTGTTAAGAGCTAACAAGAACCAATGTTTGTGAACAAACATTGACAAATGATCGTGGGGTAAAGCTAAAACAATAGCGTCGAGGCTCCTTCCGTTAGTACCTTCCGTGGAGCAACCAACCACAGGAATCGATCGCTAATAATGCCTCTGTGGTTGTGGTGTGCTCAATTATACATAAAAACGTTGACTGATTTCAGCATACGAACTACACTATTATTGTGTGAGACGATTGTACCCGCTTCCAAATTGTTTTTTGTTAAATGAAATAATAAACACAAGTCACTTGAATATTTCTGATAGGTGTTGTATATGCTTGTTTCCATGGCAACTACACAGACATGTTCATTCTAGTTTCAAACAATAACATAATATTCACCAAACCACAAAACACGGGAACGGCATTAAATTATAACTAATATTAGAGTTAGTACCGTATCAATGTTAGGTTTAATCATCACAATATTTAACTACTTGATATTTGCATTCTTTTCACGTTATCAGTGTACGTGGTTTGTGGTAAATTTATAAACTCAAAACAAAAGTTAAAAACGTATGCAGTGTGTCTGGACTCATTTCTAAAATAGACACAGCAATTGTACTTAAAGGCAGTGTCCAGCATTATGATACCGTGAACAAACAATCAAGTCATTCACTACTGAACCTTCGATCAGTGCACAGCCCATAAAAACGCTGACTTTCCACCAAAGAACACAACATTTTATAAATGTACGGCCAAGGTGATATGTCCATAGATATGTACCTGGCGAAAAAGTCACACAAAACAGCGAATTACTACAAAAACAGAGCAAAATGTGACATTCTTTCCACTGTGTGTGCTCAAACATAAAAAAATTCTCATTTTAATAATGGCATAAAAATACAGTCTTCAAAAATACAGCCAAACTATAACGTTTTGCAGTGAAATTGTGAATGAAGGCATGTATTTAGCATTATGTGTGCTATAAATTGCAGAAGCTTATGTTGTATGGTCGATGGAAGGCAATTTTAAAGTGGGTTAGACACTCGTCATGTTGGTGTTTGTGTGCAGTTATTAACTGGAGAATACCATGGTGCTCTGATGTATGCTCACCGGCGGTATTTGTTTGAGTTCGAATTGGAATTGGAACACATACAACAATTAAGTAGCTGGATTGTAGTGACGAGACCAACTTATACAATACTGTTACTCTCATTGTGATTAATTCGGTTTTTTTGTTTGGGATAAATATTATGGTGAAATTGTTTGACGAAATCATGTTTTAAATATCTAAACAAACCAGTCTATTTTCTAAATTTAGGATACATACCTTTAACGTGTGAAATATACCTGCTAGTCGTACACAGAGACTGAGAACTTTGTGTTTTCCATGGCAATCTGATAAACAATCATGATATTTCAAGCATGAAAGATAGCAGTCTTACTACCCGATAGATTAAATAAATTCAACGTGTTCTTTCGATCTGAATAATCTTGGCGTGACGAGATTGGTGACAGCACGAATAATGTTGTCATGACTTCATACAAACTCACACATAGTAAACTAACAACCACAATAATTTCGTGACAATGTTTTGCCGTCCATGAAAATAGAAAATAATTCAATCTCTAAGTCTTGTCAGGATATCCTGAGACGTATACCGGATGACCTATGTGTTTTAAAATGTAATGTTTAAATGTTTCCTGGCATGGTGGTTATTTTATATAAGGCGACATTCTTCCTTATTTCATTTTATGATGAGTTATGACATTTCAAGATCTATCCGTTATAAATACAGTAGGAAATTATCAGTTCATTTAAAATGCATTGCAACGCCAGTTTTTATATAAATACGCACAGTGACCATTATTGACGTTGTCGTGTTGTATTACATTTTTTAGATATATTACCAAGTAACAGTTCAATCATAATTAAAATAATTACAAATTTCACAAATGGTTCGCGTTTTATTAAATGTGAAAGGGTACAATGTCTTTGACTTAAGATATTTCTTTCAGTTTAATTGCCTTTAATTATTCACCGTTATACGTTCCAATCATTCGTACGGAGATTTATGTGAATTATAGACAATACTTAATTCTTATAGAACGACGGGTTTTATACCGTGTCCTAAGATAAATAAAGACTCAATGTCAACGAATTGCAGACTCAGTAATGTATCGTCTTTATTTTAATAATGGCCTCTGAGGTCAAGCGACACAATAGCCTGTGTGTTCAGCGGGGCGTAGGAATGAAGAAACTAGTCTATTGAATGTACATACTTTGCATGTCCCCCTAGCCAGATATATTACAGCCGTGATTGTGTTGTTTGATTTCTATTTATCGTGGCTAAGAATAAGTCAACTATACACGACGCGTGGATACATGTACCGATCTCACGATGTACTCGTCTTATAATTCAAGAATATCTAACTATATCACCCCTCCAAGTACAGGATACCATACACGATGCCACCACGGCAGCCACCACGGTAATCGTAGTGCTGACACGGCACGCTATCGGAGTACTGGGCTAGATTACAATGGATATCGAAGTACTCGTTCGCCGACCACCAGCTGGAACCGTTCACCGTCATCGTACGATTCCTTCTCATATTCATCAGGAAGAAGTTCACTAACAAGTCCGAGTTACACACCGTCATATAGTTCCCGGACGCATGCCGAATACTCCCCGAAATACAGTACTCCGAGCCGTAGCAGAAGTAGTTCCTCGTGTACGGATGCTGAAATACCAACCACCCCGTTCAGTCCAATATCGACCAGTACTCGTTTTTCCAGCTTCGCCCAACGTCCGCCAAGTCCACGTGTATCCACGCCAAAAACTCTCAATTTCAGTCGGGACGATCTTGATATATCACCACTGAGTCCCACAATCACCAAACACGACGACGAAAGCAACAGTCCTGATGGTTCGAATTCTACTGAAAAACAGTTCGAAAAACCAGATAGATCAAAGTGGTCAGAATTTTTGGAACCTAATGATGACAACACAGGAGTGGTCAAGCACGTTGCCGAGGGAGGACGATGGGTTGGAGAGTAAGTACGAAACTATGTTACATTCACTAGCAGGTTCCATGACACCCCTACGATCCGTTATAAAAACAACTACAATACACGCATTATTTGAATTACTCTAGCTCTTAAACATAAAATAGGATTTCAGGAATTTCAGAATTTTGTTAGTACTTCTGTGTGTCTTTTAAGAAACCAGCTGTCTCGTTGGAAGCATTTGATGTGACAGATACGGTATATGAAAGTAGTTGAAAGACTAGCTCATGGCCATGGTTGTTGGGCATCACTGTACCATAAACAGACTACTCCCATATGTCCCATTTTCACGTTTTGTAAACTATAGCTTGACTGGGGTCACTGAAACAGGATATTTTATTAATAAACACAGCAGCACTGCTAGGACTTGCACCGTTCCCGCCACTGTGAGAATGGGTTAACCAGAGATATTTCAATAATTTTAAGTGCCCGATTCTTCTCTGCTAAAGGTCACCCTATGTAAATGCCATGTATTATAAAACACATCGTGGGTACCACGTAATCAAAGCCACAGTGTGTGAATATACAGTACACAACATACACTGTCGTGCCCTGCAGGCATAACATAGTAAACTATTAGACGACACCTCATCGAGAAAACAAGCATGCGTATCCAATTAAAGCAAACGCATCTAACAATCCTACGAGCAATAAAATGTACGTACACTTGCCGTGAACCACAATCTCACACATGGCCTCAATATGTCAGTGCTTGGTGTCAGTGCCATGAACGATGTCGGGATGTTCAGTGTATGTTTACAATGATCCTGTTTCAAACACATAAAATTACTTGAGAAATACCACTTGTCGTATTTCTAAGACATTATCATATCAATCGTAAGAGTTTTACTTACGTATAAATTATTGATCTATAAGTCGTAATTGAATTCAATGATATTTTAATTACGATAACTTCTATATTACATACGTACGTCTATATTAGTTTATACGTTGCGACGGCTCTGACTAGTGCCTCGTACAGCCGTCAAGTGTACATGATGGTCATGTTTTTATGGCAGATTCGCACTGTTTGGCAAACTATCTTGTACAAACAAATACTGCACCTGTGTTGGTTATACAAACTGATTGGCGATGCTGCCAGTGATAGCTATAACAGTTAACGCTGGCCCATTGCCTGACATGAACAGCAATTCCCGTTCCGCTCAAAATAATATAGCATACTTTTACAGTGTTGGTGCTGATTTCTATACCATTGCAAGTTAGTTGTCGCTGTATTTGCATGACGTCTCAGTATGGCGCCCTCTATAGTGTGTCGTAAAGAATTTTCCAACCTGAAAACGTATTCTATATTTGATAACAGCTGCTGCATACTGGCGACATAACAAAAGGGGTTTATGACCTAGGTCATGGGTCACATAATGCAGGTCATAACATGACCTTTATAATTCAATAAACGTAGACTTGTTTATATGTTGCTAATTTGTTTGTTATACTTGGAATTTTTACTCTTTACTGCAACAATGTATATTTCATATGCATGGTTATCTACTACATTTTATACCTTTAAAGTTTTCGCATTACATAATATTACATCACATCACATTACATTACATCACATCACATCACATTACATTACATTACATTACATTACATCACGTCACATCACATTACATTACATTACATTACATTACATCACGTCACATCACATTACATTACATTACGTCTTACTCTTTCAGTGCAACAATGTATATTTCATATGCATGGTTATCTACTACATCTTATACCTTTAAAGTTTTCGCATTACATAATATTACATCACATCACATTACATTACATCACATCACATCACATTACATTACATTACATTACATCACGTCACATCACATTACATTACATTACGTCTTACTCTTTCAGTGCAACAATGTATATTTCATATGCATGGTTATCTACTACATCTTATACCTTTAAAGTTTTCGCATTACATAATATTACATCACATCACATTACATTACATCACATCACATCACATTACATTACATTACATTACATTACATCACGTCACATCACATTACATTACATTACGTCTTACTCTTTCAGTGCAACAATGTATATTTCATATGCATGGTTATCTACTACATTTTATATCTTTAAAGTTTTCGCATTACATAATATTACATCACATCACATCACATCACATCACATCACATCACATCACATCACATTACATTACATTACATCACATCACATTACATTACATCACATTACATTACATTACATCACGTCACATTACATTACATTACATTACATTACATTACATCACGTCACATCACATTACATTACATTACGTCTTACTCTTTCAGTGCAACAATGTATATTTCATATGCATGGTTATCTACTACATTTTATATCTTTAAAGTTTTCGCATTACATAATATTACATCACATCACATCACATCACATCACATCACATCACATTACATTACATTACATTACATTACATTACATTACATCACATCACATTACATTACATTACATTACATTACATCACATCACATTACATTACATTACATTACATTACATTACATCACATCACATCACATTACATTACATTACGTCTTACTCTTTCAGTGCAACAGTGTATATATTTCATATGTATGGTCACCTACTACATTTTATATCTTTTAAGTTTTCGCATTTCATTACATCACATTATATTACATCTTACACTTTGTGGGTGATATTCGCTCACATTCGATCAGGTTCAAACTGCATGCATTGGATCGTACAATAAAGGAAGCGTAATGTACATTTAAACAATACACTGTTTATTATGGCGATGTTACAACAAAGAAACTACAATGTAACAAGAAGGTAACTGATGAATACACGATAGAATGCCCCTTTTATAGGGTTCAGTAGGATTCACACCTATGGATTAAAATAGGAAGGAGACACAGTGATAGGTTTTCAATATTGATACATCGGCTTAAAATCGACCTTACAACTGATTCCTATTGCGTTCGTGCTGTCTATTGATTATTATTAAATGGCTTATGTAACTCGACTCTGTGTTAATTTATAATAGAGATACATGTATTGAAGTGTGAAATCTTGACATGTAATAGCTTCTACTGGCTATATCTCAGCTAATACTGCTTGTAATTGAACAAAATAAAGACGAATAGATAAAGCAAAACATGATCTAATAATACAACTAAATTTCGAGCAAGAATGAATAAATCTGAATAAACAACAACAAATAGAATCAATGAGGAAACACAGAAGTGGGTAAGCATCCACGACACACTTGTAGTGCAACTGTGTATATATTTCGTATGCATGGTTACCTACTGCATTTTTTATCTTTAAGCTTTTCACATTAAATTATATTACGTTATTACGTAAAATTACATTACATTACATTACATTACATTACATTACATTACATCTTACTCTTTAGTTTAACACTGTATATATTTCATATGTATGGAAATCATTCAATAGCGGCATTGGTGTGTAGATATATCTATGGTGACATTGATCATTATACGCATGACATACCATGCAAGAAAGAACAATTAATGATGTCGCTGTCAGTTTACCGTTGGTGGCGCTAGCATATCCCGTAAAAATGCAGTGTGCAAGTCGGGATTTTGTTCTTCAGTTTCTCATTCATACAAATTACAAACTTGAAAAAAAGAAGAATAATTCTTATAAATTTAACTAAGTACACGCTGTATCAACTTTTATGTGCAATTATTTTTCAACAAATTCTCATTTTATACGAACAACGCCCCTGGTAATATGAGCCACAGAAATGTAGAGATCCGGTCAGTTCACTTATTTCACAGTGAGTTTGACTGAAACCTAGAATTTCATGATATCATATCGCACAATTAAAATAAGAAAAGACAATCAAGACAGCTTGAGAGTCGTCGAGATGGTCTACATTAATGTAGACAATAAAGTATAAATGTATAGTAAAATTTAATTTCCTCACGTGACAATAAAAAGACGTGTATATTTCCTAAAATTAGCTTTCACACTGATTACAAACCCATCACATATACTCGATATCACATTGTCTATCCTGATACGACCACAAGATACGACCTTGTAATACCAGATACGTGATATAGTATAGCGACTAATTAGTCGGAGTATGATATATGATAGCAGTGTACATGGAATCTTAAACCGCCCACAACATTCTTGATGGGCGTGACGAATATCTACGAAATTGTCATAGAAAACCAGTTGGTGAAATCTGTGATCCAATTAGTAAAGCCGTTGGAATGCCCATACGCAGTAACGTTGTTGTTTGCTTTACACGTAGCGGCATGTGGTGATACATTGCAAGCTATCACAAGAGTTGTCTGTGCGGGTGCTTTGTACCATAATCGATTTGAACCCGTATACAAGTAATAAGTTTATTGGGGTTATAAACTATATATCTTAACCATCGGTTTTATGAACACGTAGCTGTGATACTGTATGTTTTCATTTTTGTACATTGTTTTGTGACATAAAATAAAAATCTAAAAAAATAAATGCAAATTCTTCAAATCCAAACATAGCATTAGCATTAGCATCTTTAGCATGTTCGGTTTTTCGAACTTTGTTGCCGAGATGGTAGTATCTATAAAATTCGAATTCTCCGCAAAAATTATAGATAGAACGTGTATTGATTTGAAATGGGTACAAAGACGGAGGAATTGATTAATTAACGATGAATGGAAACATATAAATGTGTACATGCTCGAACAAATATTAAAATTAATAATTTGATGAGATCATATAGTGACTACAATCTACGAACTGGTAAAATAAAACATGCAAAATATGCAATTTGCATACTAATAACATTGGTAACTATTTCAAACACTTTTTTTGTGTGTTAATAAAAAAAATTATTTCGCAATGAAGAAAAAGATACAGAGCAGATGACAAAATCCCCTCTGAAAAAAATATGTACTTGACAAACCCTGTCTGGTATACGGTGGTGAGACAAAAACAAAAACAAGATTAATT